CCTTTACGGTTGGAGCTCGTTCGCTGCGCTCACTTGCCTTCAGGTTAGCTCGTTCGCTACGCTACCTCGCCTCCGGGTTGAAGTTTGTTCGCTACGCTCACTCACCTTTTGGTTTCAAATTAGCTGTTGTCATAAATGTAAAAGAAATAATAGTGCTTCACCCTGTTGGTAATCCTTGTAACTTTAATGCTTTGAACATCATAGAACAGAACCAACTTGTTTAATTGAAACAGCTGTTAAGATTCATTAATTCCATTTAAATATGAGTGTACTCATAAGGTTCTCTCATAATCATACTCATAGTAGTTTACTCGTAGGGTTCTCTCGTAATCTTTACTGAATAACTGAATTACTAACATCGAACATTCTTAACTATATTTATGTCTGTGCCCTCCGCCTTGCCTCATTCCTCAAATTGCTCATTTTACTAATTTAGCCTCAGAATAGTTTTACAATTAGGCTATAATAAATTATTTGTTTTTAAGATTTTCTGAATATTTATGAATATTATTGTTTTCCAACAAATACGTAAGTCACTGATAGCGACTGAGCCTACGCACAGGCTTCCAGCCCATGTAGGCTTATTTCCTTAATGTATATGTTTAACATAGCATCTCTGAGACCTTACATCCTTTGTTGTTATTATTAAGTTTACATGTATTTTTATATTTAATTATTTTTATCTATGCAATAGAAAGTAAGGTGTCTGTTTCACTGGAAGTTATATAATTTATATTCTGCAATATTTTTGGAAATAAAGTATGTTTTAATTTGATTTTGATTTGATTTGGTTAACGTGGGAAACTCCAGAGCCACTGGGGCGGAGCCCAGAGGTCGGAGGCTAAAATACTTTCTGAGTGAGTGTTTACTACCCAAAAGGAAGATGCCTGCCAAGTTTTAGGTTCCTAGGTCTTATGGTTTCTGAGATTTCGTGATGAGTGAGTGAGTCAGTGGTATTTGAGCTTTATGTATATAGATTACTATTTCTAGATTCTCCTGTTCTTTTTGAACAAAATTAATATAACATTGGCTAGGTTTACTTGTACGGTTGAATTTTTATGAATTTTCAAAAAAAGGTCTGCAAAATCGCCAAAATGGGTTGGCCATTCCCCACTTCTAACATTGGCCACTGCAAGGGTTAATAAACAAGAAAATAACTTGAAAGCATTTTATCAAGTCACGGAAACCACTGCAAATTACGAAAATAGGTATATGGAACTATTTTCTCAAGTTGCGGAGCACATCGCTTGCCCGGAGGAACGAGGAGCGGAGTGATACAAACTGGAGACTACTTACTCTTGGGCTCCTAGAATAGGCCCATAATTGGAATACAAAATAGGCTATAAAAAAAAAAAAAAAAAAAACAATATGGTGCAACACAAATAAACAACCCTTAACCTACACTTTACCTTCCTAATCTAACCTTACCGGTACTCCAAAACACTTACTGGAGCCACGAATACTCATAAACCCCGTACCTGATTTCCTTTTTTTTCAATTGAAGTAGAGTAGAGCGAGTAACAAAAACAACTAACTTACATCGCTCAATTGGCCTAGTGCTATTTAATATTATTGGGGCTTATATTAGTATGACCTATTATTAGCTAAGTTAGTCTTAATCTTACTTAATCCCTCAATAAACTCTTGCTTCTTCTATTTTCAATTTTAACATTTCTCTATATCTTGTCACTATCCAAACAGGTTCAAAGTGTAATCAGTTTAACCCTAGAACGGCCACATAGAGTGTTTCTGTAGGGCCAGGCAGTTTTAGCCTTCCCTACAGCATTTAATCTCACAGTTTGTAAACCCCTTTTTTTATCAAAACCTATAATCTTATATACCATCGGATTTGGGACATCCTATAGAATCTGACTACTTTAAATTCTATGATTGGTTTGGTATATTATTGAATTCTTACAGAAAAACAAGGGAAACAAAAGACTGATTGAATAACAAAGACTGATTGAAAAAAAAGCACTGCGAAATAACAAAATTAGAATAATTGCTGCAGACAAGCCATATTGGCTTTTGTGGCTTGGAATTGTATGTGTTTTGTAAATTTGTATTTTTTTGGAAATAAATAATAATAATATTATATCAAAGGAAACATCTTCAAAATTTAGTTCATAAAATATATTTTTGTAACAAGAAACAAATAAACCTAAATTTCCATAAACTAAATTCCAAAAGTATGGCTCCACAACAATTTTTTTTTAACTCAAAATCAAATTTTTTTAGTCCATTAAGCAAAACAATGTAGGCCCTAAAAGGACATGTCAAATTCTTATTCTAACACGTACAAGAAGTGCCAAAAAGTTAGGCAGTCTAAAAGGATTGAGCAACAATAACACACAGACAAAAAAAAAATGGGAAACACACAGATAGAGAAAGCGAAACACATGCACAAACTTACAATTAGTAACAAACTCAAACAAGAAAGTTACTGATTATACTTACTTAACACATTCGCTGCTGAAAACCTTTAAACAGGCGCTCGCCAATTGCGGCGAGGCCCGGGCGGAGCCCCGACGCGCTAACTGAATCAGCGATCGCTATTGGTATTGAAATATCTCAGTAAGACGAATCACAAAAGAGCAGTGGTGATTGTTCTGCGTTACTCCGAAAGTGGACGTAGTTCACTGAAACACCCAAAGGTAGCAGCACTGCCTGGATCAATAACCAGAGTCTTTGTAATACGGCTCAAACTGAGAAAATCTCCGAAAACGGGACAAAAGCATTGCCAGACGGGATTTTACGGAAAATCTTTGTACCAACCTACACCAGAATAAAGCTCGCATTATAAGCTACAGGCTGGTAAAGATTACAACGTTCCCCGACAATGGCTGAACCCACACTGATCCGGCAAACAATGCAATGCGCGCTCCCCCACCCGTGGACCCCCCCCCGCTCCTCAGCTGAGACGCGCGGGGTCCACCGGTGGACCCGCCGCATCGAATGTGTTAAAATGACTACTTACAATGTTCTGTAGGATGGTGAAGAAATCATCAGTAGAGAAGAGTGGATAATCCAATAGAAAATCCCAGAGAATGTTTTTGAATTTTGAAAAGGTCTGGGTGCAGGCTGAACAAACAATGTGATTTAAGAGTTTTAAACTCAGTTGATCAAGAGTTAGATTGTGTTTTATCTAGTAACCTTTCAAACTGGATTTAAACTTTATCTCTGTACTTGGTATTGTGAGCATGATTATTCACCTCTTCTTTGCAAGGATTCTAGATCTTTCTTAACATTTAAGACGGAAACAAAGACATATAAACGGTGTACAGTCATTATATCTTCATTTATAAAAAGTGGTTTGCAATCGTCATCAGAGTCAGCATTTGCCAATAGTCTAATTGCCTTTCTTTGAATTCCAAAAACATTTTTTGTATGTGAAGCTCCACCTCAGAGTCTGAGGCCATACAAATAGGTACTCTGGAAAAAAGCTAGATAGGCCTTCTTTAGATATATTTTACCAACACATGCTTTAAGATTTCTTGGTATAAACATAGACAACTAACAGCGCAGACAGTTGGAAGACAGGTATTTTAATTTTCAAACATTAAAGATGTAGCCTACAAATTGTTTTACATATATTTCCCTACACAAACATTTCAAAACATTTGAAACCACCATACCACCTTTTGACTTGTTAAAATGTGTATATAATCCTAATAATTTATTCAATCAAAAACAAAATATATTTTTCTAGGAGTAGGCTACGCTTATTCTGCACGTAACGGAATGAGTGAACTCAGAATAATTATTTTAATGTGCATTACTTTTATAACTAGGCTATTTGTTTATTTGATGCCCGAGAGAGCTGCAAGTATGGTTTGTTTACATCATGCTTTATGCCTCATTGTCCCACAGGATTAGTCGCTACAATAGGCTACTACCTGGATCCCTTGTGATTAGTAGAGTTGTTTTATTGCCCCGACCTTATTGGACCCTTGGATTACGGGCTCAGCTAACTAAGCTCTCATCCCTTTAGTCACCTAAATTGTCAACCCGATTGTTCAGAACTGCTTTATGACTGTTTTAGCCCAACTTTGAAATACTGATTTTTTTTTAAGTTTGTTTAGTATTTTTACTAGGCCTATTTTTATTTAGAGACTCAATATTAAGTGTCTGTAGGCCCTATATAAAAGCTAGTTTCAAAAAATAGATTTTGAAATAAATAAACGAGATATGCATTAAGAAAACCCCTGTAAGTAGATATACATATAAATAAAAGGGCCACTTGATGATTGAATTTTCTTTGATCGCACACAGTGTATAAACAGTGATCGTCCTTCTTGTGGGTTATAGAAAGTAGGTAGGTTAATAGCCTAGGGAATAAACATGCAACAATGATGTGTTGTTTCCCACACTCACAGTTATATTTGCAACATCATTATGTTCTTGTTATGCGATCATTCACTAAGTTTTAGAAGTAGGCCAGTCCAATTAAATTGTTTCCATTTTATAATTGAACTTTTTACTGATATAAAAATGTGTAGGTTGTAATGTTAAAATGTGCTGATTTTATTTTTTATTTCCTTCCAATGGTCTAACAAACCAGTTTATTATTGTAAACATATTAGCCTAATAATGTTAAAGACGACTAGGATACTACTTAGGCCTACATGCCAAGAGACGAGCGAAACATGCAACTGGACTTAATTTTGACAACAAATAAATTAACAATAACTAAAATCTGTTTGAATAATACTAACAATAAATACAATCTGTATCTCTCTAAGACCCATCTAATTAATTACTATAAAATTTTTAAATACTTTTCACTCCAGTCTGTAATATCACAACTAAATATTAGTCCTACTTATTAACTATCACAGTTATTTTGTTTTCTACCCTTAATGAATCTAGATAATTGTGTAAACTTGTGTGACAACTTTGTCAGATCTATGCAGATTCAATGATTTAAATAGATGCACACTCCGAGTACTTGTGAATCACAAACCTTATCAAACCTTTGTATCTATGATTAATTTTTTCAGAAAAAAGCAATTGGAAATGACCTGTATGAGCAAGTATTTTACTCATTGGACCTGATTGAAAAGGATTATTTTGGGCTTCAATACACTGATGCTAACAATGTGCAGGTAAATACTAATTATATTTAACATAGATTAGAAATTTGAATTAATTTTTCATTTATGACAGAGTTTCATTTGCCGTCCAACCTTGGTATAACGAATCTGAAGGGACCGAACTAAATTTTTCGTTATATCAAGGATTTTGTTAAAACGAGATTCGTTAAATTGAGGTTAGGTTTGTAGGAATATTGCTAAGTTGAGGTTCAGAAACAGTATCTGTTGTTAATATAGGTTGAGATTACTTCATCAGTCCTCAGTGAATGAAATCAGTTGGTACATAGTGCACAGCAGACAGATGTGTTTATAAAAGAGCAGACGAATGTTAGCGCAAGCGTTGACGTCACCTTTCCCATTTCATTTTCATCAAGATTCTGTGATTTTTCAAAAACAATAATGTGGGGGTTTGTTATATTGAGGGAAAGACATATACAATTCGTAGAGTAGAGCTTAAATTCGCTATGTAGAGGTTCTGACAATGCTAAATTCGTTATATTGACATTATTGAGAGTCTTATTTTAGCCGGGATAGTTGAAAATTTGTTAAGTCAAGGTTGTTGATATGGTTTGTTCGTTATGTAGAGGTGAAATATTCATTGTGTCTTATGGAGAAATGTGTTATATCAAGGAATTTGTTATACTGAATCTCGTTATATCAAGGTTGGACTGTATTTAGATCAAGAATAATTTAATACCTTATAATATTGTTACGTGATATAATTTAAAACTTAATAATCATTGGTAATCCAGTATGTGAATGAGACAGGAAAAATGATTTATTATAACCATGTGAAAAGAAACATTTTTATGTTTTAAAAAGTGTTATTTTTGTTCGACTACTTCTGATGGACATTATTTTGAATTGCAGTGCTAAAGCTTTATTTTAAGTAATGGCAATAAACTTAACACTAATTTTGTTTTAATTTAATTTTCTTTTCCAGCATTGGCTTGACCCAACAAAGGCTATCAAAAAGCAAGTTAAAAGTAAGTACTACAACATAACATTTCTTGAAATAGCCTAATTTTATATGAGGCTTATATTAAAAAACTACCTTGTTTGTGTTTATTGTTGTAAATCCGAGTATTTATAGCATGTAAAATCGAAAGTAGTGTATGATTATCAAACAAAAATCATGACAAAATCACATTTGAAAAGAGGACAACTGAGCCTTCCTGTATTTACATGTTTGATAAGCAGTTTGTTTGTATCTCATTCCTGTTACTGATTATGATTGTATTGTCTAGTCGGGCCTCCTTACACTCTTCGACTCAAGGTCAAGTTCTACTCCTCAGAACCCAACCTGCTGAGGGAGGAACTCACCAGGTATCAGTTCTTCCTGCAGCTCAAGCAGGATATTCTGGAGGGAAGACTAGAGTGTCCTGAAAACACTGCTGTAGAATTGTCTGCCCTAGCTCTTCAATGTGAGTCTTTGTTCAATTTTAAAATTAATAGCATGGCAATACTACCTGTAACTCTAGTGTTGGAAGTTAATTGTCCTGGTATTATTAAAATTCTGCTGTAGTAGATTAAAGGAAAACATATTTCCAGTAAACAGTTTAATTTCATACAACTTTTGGCTATTGGTTAACCTAGACACTCAATTTTCATGTCAGTTTTAAAATTGAAAATGGATGTAGTTTGGTCAAACTACTAACAGAGTGATGATTACAATTACTGATTTCTGTTGATCCGCTAACTTGTTTAAGCAAGTCAAGCTTGAAGCAACACTTCCTGCAAAACTACACTCATCTTTTATGTTAAGGTACCTACATAAATTTAAATTATCAAATTGTTAAGAAAGAAAAAATAGTATACAGTGATAACTTAATTGACAGCTCATTCTATGAGTGGCTGATTCAACTATGTTCTAACGAGAATAAAAATTGGCTAACATAAAGCTGGTCCATACAGATGGGATGTCTTCTACAGCGTCTACATGTTAATGGCACAGCTAAACATATTAATACCAAGGGGGAGGATAAAGGAAATAATTAAGCAGTAACGTATCATCAGCCACACTGGGTTGCCCTGCATCAACACTCGATACAGCGGTGAATATTGTTGGTCAATACTCAATACTTTTATACTAAAAGGATTAAAATGAAAGTGAACACTTATATTCAGGTTTTAAAATTGTCTTTTAAGTTGGACTGGACACAAGACAGTTGTAGTTAATTTGCGCCTTGTTGGTTCAGCGGAGCTTGGTGACCATGAAGAAGGCTACCACACTCCAGCGGTCATCTCTGAGTTCAGATTTGTACCCAACCAAACTGAAGACATGGAGATACTCATATTAGAGGAGTATAAGAAATGCAGGTATGTAGCATGCTCGCTTTAACCAACAGTTTTTGGGATGATATTGTTTGGCCTTATCAGTGCTTTCCTTTTTGTTAATAAAAAGAAGTAAAAAAATGTAGTCATATGTTTTCCTCTAAAACCTCGTTTCCTTCATCAACTAAAAAAGCCCTTGACCTTTAAATACAATATTACAGTAGTTTTTTTTTCATGCCTGACCCTTGGGCTATATTTTTATAATATTCTCTAAAGTATAATTGTGAGGTCATAATTTTCTAACAATCATATTTTTACATCTGCAGAGGCTTGACCCCGGCCCAGGCAGAGATGAACTACCTCAACAAGGTCAAGTGGTTGGAGATGTACGGAGTGGACAACCACATAGTGCTGGTAATGTATCGTCTGTCACACAACATTACTGTTGTAGGCTACTTGACATTATCACTCTAAAGTTACCAACCTCTTGATGCTGGATGAAATCGGTTATTGAATACCTATTTGAATCCAATGATGTAATATTTTCAGTCCAGTTTGGATTTAGGTCAGGTATGTATCCAGATACAGTTGGAGCCATTGTTTCATCAATATTATGGTTTAGAAAATGCTCTTTCTACCTATGATTCCTTAACCTCAGTCACCAACAAGATTAGATTATAATAGGAGGGATTATAAAACTGAAAAATCTTTCTGATGCACTTACACAAAAGCTTGACAAGATCAACCGCTGATGAAAAACAATGATTTTATTTGCCTTTACTTTGGATTTATTAAACAATTATATTGTTTGACCTAGTGTCACTGGTAATTTATTCTTTTGGATACAGTTTTGTTTTTTTACTTAATGCTCTCAATGTAATTTTTTTTTTTTTAAGAGGTTGGCGGCCTCTTTTAACCTTGCATTTGCCCGTCCACATAGACTAAGCGCCCGTGCGTGGATCGTTAACAGTAAAGCAAGGAGTGAGCCGGTACAGTACAAAGGTGAACTGTACTGATAAAACGTTATCGCCAGTGACCAGGATTCGAACCCACGACATCGCTGCCTTGGGCCCGAAGTCCGCGACGCTACCGACTGAGCCACCGACTCACTAAAATGCTCTATTTTTAGTAATTGTCTTAGAACAGCAAAACTACTTTGATGGTAGTCTTCTGCATTACTGCTATCTATAAATTTTACTTAGGAATCAATCTATGTTTCAAGAATTTGGATTCACGAAGAGTGTACTTATATGGTGCTGTCCTTAGCCAGCCTAGCAGATAAAGATACACAACAGATAAAACATATAGTATCTATCTGTATGGGGTGAAGCTTATCCTGTACAAACATAAGATTGCCCTCTTAAAACCTCTTCAGAAACCCTGACCTCTTTATCGTTTACAAAGAATAACACCTGGAAGAAAATCTGGGTGCAAAAGTTTATGTTATAATCAAATTGTTTTAGTAAATTCATCAATTTTGGAAACCAACTCACTTTGCTATAATGTGCGTTTTGATTTTATAGGGCAAAGATGGCTGTGAATATGCTCTTGGCTTGACACCAACTGGCATACTGGTGTTTGAGGGAACTCAAAAAATAGGATTGTTTTTTTGGTAAGCAACATTTAAGTGTTTTCAACCTATTCCCACATGACACCACAAACCCTTATTTTTGTTGTAGGAGATACTTATACTTGAATCTTTCTAGATCTTTACCAAACACTATGGTGATCATCAGATTTAGTGTGATGTTAAAGCTGTCAGAACTTGAAGTTAAGTTTTTTAAGCTGTATGGTTTACAAATTTAAAGAATTTGTTACCCATGCCTGTAATGCTTTTCCCAAAGGTATTGCTTCTCCAGTTAAAATATAATAGTTTGTAAATTACGCAACAAAAGATATACTTTCAGTACAAAACTTTTTGGTGTTAGTAACCTAATAGTAGAGCCAGTGTATTTATTAGGTTGCCGTTAAATGTTGGAAAAAAACAAACAGTACTAAGACCACCCTCTAAGGATCCCTGGGAATAATCTTTATTCTACAGAGCCCACTTTAATTTTTTATTTAACATCAAAAGTTTCCACTGCCATCGCTCTGTTGAGTGACTGTTTGTTCTCTTGATTCTTTCAACCCAGGGGCAACCATCAGATTTGTAAAGAAATTGGAGTGAGAAGGTGAACAAGAGGGATAAATGTCAATAAATTATACTAAATAAGGGAAACGCTTTATTTGTCTTAACAATATTTTTTTAATATTGTGTAAACCACTAATTTATTGTAGGCCGAAGATTGGAAAGTTGGACTTCAAGAAGAAGAAGTTGACGTTGGTAGTTGTGGAAGATGACGACCAAGGAAGAGAGCAGGAGCACACCTTTGTGTTCAGGTAGGCTTTAACATCTGTTTGCTATTCTCTGTGTAAGGTTTTGTATTCTTTACAGATCTTCTTCCAATTGTTCTTGTTGATTAGGATCCAAGCAATCAAATTCCAAATCCAACAGACAAAAAATTCTATCCATATATTTACGTGTTACAAAGTAGCCTAACTCTTTATATTCCAAGTGTCTAAATTGCAATACCCTCTTGTTGTTTATTGTAAGAAAATTGGAAAATTCTCATTTACAATGCGAAAGACAACTTTTTTGATTTTCTCCAAAAAACCCATATTCTAACAAAAAATTGGATTACATGATCAGTCTACAGTTTGAAAATGTCTAAAAATGTTGTCAATGTCAAGAGAATATTAGCCTAGGCAATACACAGAAATGAAAGGTATGTAAAGCCACATAAATTAAAGCTTTTTAGAAAGATAACTAGTCCCTTTGGCAATAAATTTCCTTATAATCTACCTAAGAAAATATTTCAAGCAAACTTTCAAAAAATGTCTCAAAGAATTTTATTTTCAAACTTTTCCTTCAAGGATTTTTTAATTTATGAAATGTATTTGTATTATTATTACTGTCATACAACACTTTTCAAACAGTTGTTTAATTATTTTAAGAACTTTTTTCATATTTAACAATTTGACACTGTTAAATGTGTTACGGTTTAGTATTCTCATGAATCTAAAGATTTTTTTATTTGATTTTATTAATGTCTCTGCTTTCCTTTTGTAGACTTCACAACGAGAAAGCCTGCAAGCACTTGTGGAAGTGTGCAGTAGAACATCATGCCTTCTTTAGACTTAGAGCACCAGTCAAGGGCCCCTCTGCCAGACAGAATTTTTTCCGAATGGGTTCCCGATTTAGATACAGGTATGTATGTGCCATGATTTCTATTTTAGTTTGAAGGATTTAACTACAGTATTTATTACTTAACGTTTCTTAATTTAGTATCATACGTTATATCAGCACACTTGGGAACTGGAGCTTTTAATCATTGATGATGATAATGTGCATAGTATTTTTACCAGATCGTGTCTGTAAAAACCTTATTAGAGGTTTATTTAATAATGATAATTACTGACCAAACCATAATGATGCAGGCCTAATTATGCATTCTCCTAGGAATAGGCGGGATCATACTTTATGTTCAGGACATGACAGGATTTTACTTCCTTCCTGATTTTCAGAATATGAACGGAAGAAGAAGACTTAATCTTCCATGCAGTAAGGAAAACTTATGTTTGTTTTAAAATTCTTAAGTAAAAATCTTAAGTAGAAATTTCTTAAGTAATTCTTAAGTTAAAATTCTAGCTAGTGGCAAATTGAGAAAAATATAAATTTTCTGTCTTTATTGTATACTGTTCTGTGCCATCATAACTCATGGTAGCAGCAGGATTGTTACTATCTCTTACGATCCCGGAGATAACATTAACTTTTCCCGCTACAGTAACAAAATCCTCTGTATCTCACAGGATCTCGGAGACAACATTATCTCCTCCTGTACAGAACTAAAATTCTCAGTACAGTATCTCACACGATCACAGTAGCGATGATATCGTGAACATCTCCCACAATCGTAGGGACATCATTATCACCGCTCATGCGAAATCGGGGACTGTTGGAACAAATCCCGTATCACATGCAGTCCTTCTGGAATATTAGGAATATATTTTTTTTACGTAAACTTATTAAAATGTTCTGACTCATATCAAGGCAGCACTTTAAAAACAGGCCGTAATGCCCCTCTGACATGACGTCATTGTAGGCGACGGCAATGACGTAATAATTGCCGTTTGTGATCAGCTGCTTGTTTTAATCTATTCTTGGAAAACAAAATTAGAACTAAAAAATAACCTTACGTCATTACGTTGCCTATGATGACGTCATCTCTGAGGAGCATTACGGCCTGTTTATTTAGTGTTGCCTTGTCCATACTTATTGACCACTCCTCTTGCTGTTACTTAAGAGTAACTGATTTTATATATTGTTTATTTTGACAGTGGGAAGACAGAGTTCCAAACAACACAGCAAAACAGAGCGAGGAGAACAGTGCAGTTTGAGCGAAGGCCAAGTCAGCGTTACGCGAGGCGCCAATCACACGTATTGAGAGAGAAACAAAGGTAACATGATAAAATCAAGTTAAAACAAAATAGAAATGTATAAAATAGTGGAAATAATAATTTGTAAATTAATCTCGCTATTGTAGACTTTTTAACAATGTATTAAAATGCTGCATTTAATTGATCTTGTAAGTAAAAATAATTGAGTTAAAAAGTTTGAATTAAGCTTCAGGATAATGTAAAACCAATAACAAAAATAGAGGGTGTAATACAGTAGACTCCCTCTTATCCAGACTCCTCGGGTCCGGTTAAACTGAGGTCCCCAAAAACTCGTTAAAACGGGACTGGTTAAATGCATACTGTATACATTATTTGACTTAAATTTAGGAGAGCATTGTATTTAGACACGTGATCACTGGTCTCAAATCTTTCCCTTTAGAACAATCGTTTCAGTACTGCCCGCTTCTTGCCGATCTAGTCCAGTTAAACTGATGTGCTGATAAAAATTGTCCGGTTAAAGAGATGTCATTTCCGCCGAGTGTACTCCGGTTAAACCAGTGTCCGGTTAAAAGTTGTCCAGATGAGAGGGAGTCTACTGTAGATTCAAATTGCAACTGCCATTACCATTTATCGAGTAAAAATTTCTACTTTTGTGTTGTATATTTTATGTGTCTCTATGGACTTATTTAAAGGTAAGCCTACTTTCCTGTCAATTTCCTTAATAATTCCTGGCAAATGCCCTAACTTTATATAAAAAATAAACTGATACTTTTTAAGAATAGAAAGTATAGGATTTCAAAGATATGGCTAATTTTCCTGAGAAAACTGGAATGCATTAGTCTATTTCCCGCAGATTTACTGTAGGATAAATTTTACTGTGTTGTTATGTATGGCATTTTGTGTATCGCTGAGCCTCGTGACCAATATTCTCTAGTAAGCAGCACTAAACTCAATCTATTTACAGAAACACTTACATACAATCCAAATATAGATTGAGTGTTTTCACTTAATTTTTTAACAAAATATTTACTTTATGTCTGTGATCATCAGAGGTAGTAACACATCAGGCGAGACTGCAGCAAAGAAGAGTGAGGGCCAGGCGTCTAGCAGTAGCAGTGAGGTGTCAGTGGTGCCCGCGCCTGTTGTGGTTGTTCCTGTAGAGACAGACGACACAGCTCCTTTGGCGTCTGACACTGCGTCACTCGTGGGAACCCTCCGCAGGCGCAAGTCTAACTCTAACTCTGGTCTGTATATCTGTGTAGTCTGTTTGGGCTAGGTACTTCTCATAATTGGGCAGTAATCTTTTGATGACAAAACATTTGATTTGACTTACACTAAATATAATTTATGTAATTGATCTAATATGAAATGTTGTGAAGTATTATAGATTTTAAAAACTAAGTGAATATTTTGATTAAATGAAAATAGTAAGTTAAATGAAACTTACTTTAAAGGTATGCAAGTATAATGATACTGGAGATAAAAATGAATGACCTTGGTTGGCTAAAAATAAACACTATACAATCACCTAATTTTTTATTCACTGTTCATAAAATAATAGTTACCCTCATCTTTTCCATATACCAATACAATGTGCTGAGCCTGAACTTGAAAATAAATAAAAATTTATGTAAAAAAAAATCAATGGAGATACTTCATACTTTCTTCTGAAATGGTGACCGTACCATAAATAAGCCAACTAAATAAATAAGTCGTAGGTATTTTAAGCCAAGTATGAATATAGATAGGGATGAGTGGCACGATTGTAGTCTTGTTAGTTACTAAGGCCAACATGTTCCTTAGACACAGCTGTTAATTAATAGCCCATACAGCTAATGGAAACTACCTACAGTTTGTAGTGGAATCCGATAGATAGATATTACTTGATACAATTACTGCTTCAATGAAAGCTGTTAGTGCAAAACCAACTTATTCCTCTAAACTTAGTGTTAGCCTAGCTGATTATATTGATTTTTAACTTCCTAAAACCAATGTTAGTTTTTTAAATAATTTATTACATTGTCTATTTAAAATAATTATATTTTGAGTTTGTAAAATAACTAATTCATCATGTTACCAAAAATAAACTTTCTTAACATTATGTATGCCTAACAAAACATGTATTTCGCTTGTAAGTGCATGTATAGATCATGTAATTCTCTGGAGATATAAACTTATGAAATCACAGCCAACCGAGATTTATTTCCAGGTGTAGCTGAAGAGAGACTTGATTCATTGTTGAAGAGTTTGGCTAAAGAAACAATCACAAATCACAATTTAGAAGATAAAAACGATTCCAGTTCCCCCTTGTCCAGCCTCTCTAGTAAGGCTGAAGGTAAATCACAAAGTTCTGCATGCAAAACCATTCCTCTAACCTGGGTGGCAGGTCTAACAAATTCTGCACATTCCATACTTCGATTCATACTTAATTCATACATAATGCTTTAAAGTATTCTGGCTTCATACAGTAGAGTTAAAATTAAAACATTTTTCTCAACACTCAAACCCACCACCTATTTTAAGTTAATTCACATCAACGTCAACATTCAAATTATTAAGGACCACCAAACATCAATGCGAATAAATTTTCTAGTTCAAATGTATTCAGATTAAACCTTTGATTACGGATATAAGTAAAATACTGATTTCTATGTAAAAGCACCACCTAGTATTAGAATAAAATGTGCATAGTCGAATTATATCTAAGAGTTAATCCTGCTGTTAGTTATCGACTTTGGTCAAATACATGATATACTTTTTACAAAGCCAAACCATAAGCTTATGGTAAATTATTGCACCTTTTATGTTACATCAACTATCATGAAAACCTAAAAGATAAAAGGAACATTCATAGTGTAACCCTGTTAGAGGCTCATTCAGATACAGTACAACCTACTTACCCGTCACTTACGGGACCGGTACCACAGTACGAACAGTGAAAAAGAATAATGTTCCGAGGAGCATATTAAATTACCAAAAATTAATTGCTCAACTGACATTGATGAATCGTGCGGGATCTTGGAAGAGGATGCTAATGTTTTCTGACTGCTTGAGACATTCAATATTTTAACACAATTGCTGGAGACAATGATGTTACCGTGATTTCGGGAGACGTTCAGTAATTTTCCAAAATCGCAGTATTCGACGATGATGTCACTGCAGGAGATATTCAGGAGTTGTAATTCTTGATTTGTTCTAATCCTCCAAATTCCTTCTTCTTCAATTGGGCCATATATACGTCTGAGAATTTTGTTTTTGAAAATTATTAGCTTCTTTTCATCTTGTTTGGTTAGTACCCATGTTTCAGATCACATTTTCTGATAGTAACGATAAAGTTTCCGTCATTGCTGGAGACAATGATGATGTCCCCACGATTTCGGAAGATGTTTACTATTTTGCCACAATCATAGAAGGTAATGATGATTTTTGCTGTGGATTTATCTTGGATTTTCCACGATCGTGGAATACCATTATAATATCTTTTGACCATTTTCCGTTCAATATTTTGCCATCATTGCAGAGAATGATGATCAATCTTTTTGTGATTGCAGAAAATAAATATGATGTTTCCGTGATAACGTGGATTAAACAGGATTTTTGCCGCGATTTTAAGAGACCGTGTTGATCTCCACACAACCATCGGAAATAGTTACGATGTTACTGCGATAACATTGGCTCCGATAGGCTAATGATACAATCAGACTAACTCAGCAAGGAGTCTGACTAGCAGAGGTCGGATTAGCGGGGTTCTACTATACTTGGTTCTATTTGAATGGAAGAAACGCTGTAAATAGTCGATGTCGATACATATGGTATCACTGTCCTTGTGTTGTGTTAGTATCAACAGATGGTTATGATGGCTGATCTGAATATTATTTGTTGTTTGCAGATGTGAACGTGGAGGGAGAATGTTCGCCTCGCTCTCCAATACCCAACAACAGGAACGTTCAGTCAGGCTCTGGTCCTAGACCCATACCACTCGACCAGCTTAAGTGCAATATACTCAAAGGTTTGTCATTACTTTACCTATGCTTCTTTCCTGATACCACTACTGCACACCAGTATGCAGATGAAAAAAATATATTTACTTTCATTTCAAATACGGCACCCTAGTTATATTTCCAAATCTAACAAAAGTCAAGTTACTACCTGTAGATTCAACATGTAAGAACATGTAACATGTAAGTTAGTACAGTAAACTATCATCTCTGCAGACTTAATCCGGGTTGCCAATTTACAGGAGTTTGTAAAAGACTCATACACGTTAATTAGGAGCCACTGTAATTTAAGTAGTTTTGTTGCTCAGTTTACATTGCTTTAGTTTATTGTTGTTGAAATTCAGAGTAGCAATACAGTAGAACCCCTCATATTCAACCTCGGAATAACAGACTCCTCGGGATATCGGACCTTGTGTCTAGCCGTCTACATCTTTCCTGTCTGAGGCGATAACGCTGAGCAAGATCGATTAACCAAAAGGCCAATTGCAGATGTTGCCATAATCGCAGGAGACGATCACCAGTGTCGCCCATGACGGGTGTTGCCGCCATCGCTGGAGACGATTACCAAAGTCCAGAGATTGCAATTTACACTCGCGGTTGCGGGATACGATTACCGATATCGCGGAAACAGCAGGTTAAGCTCTTCCTGATATCCGACTTGGTCCCATCATGGTTGGATGTGAGGGGTTCTTCATTCAAGTTACTTTTTCTAAAAGGTGTGTCCTAACAACCTCAGAATATCGCAACCCATCTCCATATTGAGTTTTTTATTAACTCCTGACAACTTGAATAACACATATCAATTTAAATGCTTTAATCTTTTGCAGCTAAAGTTGAAGAAGAGATGCGGAAGTCTCCTCAGACTCCAACTGACTCGTTTGAACGAAACAAGATGTCCAATGTTACAGCTTCAGCTGCTGACTCCTCACATTTGGACGGGTACGTTGAAAACAATAAGTATTATCTTATGCAAAATAGTACATGTGAAAATAGTTTAATATGGTTGAAAATTTAATCATCATTCGTAGGTTTTTCAAGTTAAATTTAATTCCTGGTACTGATTATTTTCAAGTCGGTCGTCTTCCTAACCATGAATAATTACTCTATTCATTAATTTCTATTTATTTATTGCGGCGTAAGCAAAAGTAATGAAATGGAAAAAAATTCAAAAGTTAAAATATGCGTTATTAGAAGAGAGACGTGCACAAACCTTGATTAGATTGAAGTGAAGGTCACAAGATGGCGGCTTCATCTTCTTGAAGTAAATGTCGTCTTGAGCAGTGGGGAGTAGCAGGCAAATTTGAATGTGTTTTTAACTTAAAAATAATTCTTGTTTTGTAATATATTGAAATTAAGGAAAACTCTTCTTAATGGGGTTATAATAATAAATAAAATAATTACTTCAAGAATCAAGAATTTTATTGTCGTTAAGCACATGGCAATAGACAAAGTCAAATACAGTATTATAAGACATCAAATGTGCAATATGGACAAATAGAAAATAATAAATCAAAACAGACATATAGATATAGACACTGAAAAAACAGCTACAAGTACAAAATCACTATCTAATTAAGTTAAAATCTTAATGTACTAATATCACAGGCCAAAAATTCGTTAACAGAATAAAAAACATTTTCTTTTAACCACTTTGACACAGTTATTTTGAATCTGCTTAGGTTCACAGTCCAGGCTTCTTTTGGCAGCTTGTTAAAAAGCTTGACTTTCATAAACAAATGGCTTTTTTTAGATTTTTCTAGTTTTATAGATATGCAATCAAGTAAATAGTTCCGTCTAGTATTATATTTGTGAAATTCACTTCTAAAACTATAGCTATTTAAGTTTTCCTTAACACTAACTAAGCTAAAATATACATACAAACACGGAAGAGTCATTATTTGGAATTCTTTAAAATGTGGAACACATGACTCTCTGTCAGGAATGTTTGCCATTATCCTAATTGCTTTTTTTTGCCATATAAATGCTTTTTCAGAATCTGAGCTATTACCCCAAAGTGTTATTCCATACATTAAATGGGAATTAAAAAAAGCATAGTAAGCTGTAACTAACATTGAGGAACTAACACAATTTTTTAATTTTCTAAGTAAACAAGTAACTCTAGATAGTTTTCTACACAGCTGATTTATTTGAGATTTCCAGTCAAGTCTGCTATCTAGGTATAATCCTAATAGTTTTACTGGTTTAATGCCTTCATTTATAGATTTATTTAAAGAGAATACAATGTTTTCTGTTTTACTATTATTAACAAGTAACCCATTAACTTTAAACCATTCCTCAGCTGCTATCATTGAATTATTTTCTTCAATTAATAAACCATTTAAATCATTGCTTTGATTCAGAAGAGTGGTGTCATCGGCATATTGTAGGCAAAATCATTTACTGCAACTATAAATAGGAAAGGGCCCAATACCGATCATAACATACCTTCTTCTAACATAATTAATTAATCTCTATTTTAAAACGTTTTTATTAGGTCGCTTTCTTGTCCGCTACAAATTTTGCAACCGATTTTATACTAACTTCCCGATGAGCTAGGGACTTGAAACTTGAAACATATCTCACAAATGGAAGACAATGCAATATTATACTATTTAATTTTCATATTTCCCTTGGGCTACGCCCCATTGGCTTGTTTTTACTAAATAGATTTCTTGCAAATTTTGATACTTCCCGATGAGCTAGAGACTTGAAATTTGAAACATAGCTCACAAATGGATGACATTGCAATATTATATCATTTAATTTTCAAATTTCCTTTCGGGCTACGCCCCATGGGCTTGTTTTTATTAGCTCGCTTTCCTACAAATTTTGATATCAAATTTAAACGATGTAACCGATAAGCTAGAGACTTGAAATTTGAAACATAGCTCACAAATGCATGACAATGCGATATTATATCATTTAATTTTCATATTTCCCTTGGGCTACGCCCCATGGGCTTCCAAATTTTTTATGTTTACATTTTGAAAGGATGTAAATATATCAACTAATTTAAGTCAGCTGTAAATACTTAAATTTGACAGTTCAAAAAGCAGAGGTTAAGAGGTACAGGTTCTGCTCCCAAGAGATTTTTTATACAAACAAACATTTCAAATAAAGATAAACAATCTGATTGCAGATATAAAGGAGTTTGTTAATAATGTCATTTGTTATTTATTTAGTACTAGCTGTAACCCGCGGGCTTTGCCCCGTTTAACTTCTTAATTTTCAAGATTATCTCGTTCGCATGGCTCAATCACGTCCTGGTTGAAGTTTGTTTGCTACGCTCACTCACCTTTAGGTTGGAGCTCGTTCGCTACGCTCACTCACCTTTAGGTTGGAGCTTGTTCGCTGTGCTCACTTGCCTTCAGGTTAGCTCGTTCGCTACGCTAACTCGCCTCCAGGTTGAAGTTCGTTCGCTACGCTCACTCACCTTTTGGTTGCAAATTAGCTGTTGTCATAAATGTAAAAGAAATAATAGTGCTGCACCCTGTTGGTAATTTTTGTAACTTTAATGCTATTGAACATCACAGAACAGAACCAACTTGTTTAATTGAAACAGCTGTTAAGATTCAATAATTTCATTTCTCATAAGGTTAACATGGGAAACTCCAGAGCCACTGGGGCGGAGCCCGAAAGGATTTTTGAAATAAGAATATGCCTATATGTTAATCGGGAATGTGAGCTATCATCATGCCAAATTTCAGCCCAATCCGACCAGTATTTTTCGCGTTCACTTGTCACAAACATACATCCATACATCCAAACTTTCTCATTTATAATATTAGTAGGATTAGTAGGATTCTATAAAGTAAACAATAAATCAAATAGATTGATATATTTATAGTTAGTAGGTAGGCCATACATGCAATCTAATACATAATTATATGCAAAGAAACTCAAATAAACCTTAGATTTCCCACATGCCTCTGTCTTAATCTGATATAGACGCTTGAAATAGATTTAACATGCACACACATTAAAACTAAAAAGTATAAAATAATTTATAAATAAAAAACTTTTTTAAACAAAACGTTTTTAAACGCCCTAAAAAGTAGAAAATAATTTACAAATAATTTATAAATATGTTGAGAGAGTATAAGTACTTGTACGATTTAAAACGAAAAACGTGGGGTGTATGCCATAGATAGTTTACAATTACCTTCACCTACTGAACTAATGTATTATTATCAATTAATTGCATGCACCCAACGTTTTTCGTTTTAAATCGTACAAGTATTTATACTCTCTCAACATATTTATAAATTATTTGTAAATTATTTTCTACTTTTTAGGGCGTTTAAAAACGTTTTGTTTAAAAAAGTTTTTTATTTATAAATTATATTTACTCTATGCAGGATTTCTTCCCCCATCAGTTGTTTGGGATTGAACTTTTTTTTTATCAAATAAATGTTTATGTTTGGAGCTTAATTACTTAAATAGTCAAAGCTTATACTGTCTTTTCATAGAAAAGGCTTTGAATTCAATCTAGGAATTAACGAGAACAACTAAATTACCTGAAAAGAACCTTAAACCTTCAGTACCGTATCCAATAGTCAATGCTTAAAGGCAGTAAAATGAGAATCATATCATAAATCCTTATTTCACATTTGAGATTCTTCCAATATTAAATTACTGTAGAACCTCGGTTAGCCAAATTCAGGTTAAAACGGTTCCATAAAATAATATGTAATGTAAAATGCTTTAGTAACTTCAGTTGTTTTGTTTAAAGTATTTTCTTACCCATTGTAACATATCTTTTTTAAATTCGTTTTAAAATAGATATTATTTCTGTTGTACACTCTCACCCCTTATAAACCGGAGTTCTATCTTACTGTGTGGAAGATAGACTCAATCACCAACCACAGGCATTTTTTTGGGGATTCTATTTCATAATTTGTTTTATGTACCATTGTACTAATTCTCTGTACCAAAATAAAGAATTCATTCATTCTACTGTACTTTCTTCTACTAATGATTTTTCTGATTTCTTTATAATACAATATTGCTTACTATGTTGCTATATCATAGGCATATTTCTACACATTTTTGTAACACTTAATCACTAACTCAAGCCTATTTTGTTCTTTTAGAGAGGTCGCTCATCTTAGTAAGAAGAACCATCTATTCGGGAAGGAGCAAGCAACATTTGTTTCAGTTGTAAGTACATGGTTTTTATATATTCATACAGTAATATGGGATTTTCTCTCATAAATAGATATTGATTGAAAATCCTTGGTTTTATTTTAACAAATATCAAAAGAATGGTGCTTTTAGAATGGTTTTAGATTGTTGTGAACACTATTTGCAGTTCCGATGATAAAGACAAACCCAGTAAACTCAAAGTAAACAACGTCATTCATTTAAGACTAGGTGACGCATTTAGTGAGAATTTAAATGGTGTGTTAACTGTCTCAAACTTGTTTTGTGTTTTGCTTGTGCTTGGAGCTAATGAGAACCAAATAGTTTTGTTGTAAATGCTTCCCTGTGTGTGAGTGTTCCTGTAGCCTTTGTGTCTACTGTAGGGTGGGGACAAGTTGACTCTGTCACTCAGTGGAGCTGAAGACAAGAGTGAAGAGCTGCCGTCACCTGTGTCACCCACGGGTCGGTCACCCACACCCGTCACAGTCACACACTTCTCATGGGGTGAGGCGGGCAGGTTAGAGCAAAGAGTCGTGACCCCTTCAGCTCGGTCACCCGTCCCCTTCATGTCTCTCTCCGTAGCTCCTGTGGATCCTCCATCGAGCACCAACCCGTTCCTCAGCACCACCAACCCGTTCCTACAGTATCCAAACTCCAACCCGTTTGTAGACATGGATGACAAAGTCGCCGATGTTGATGAGTCTGACAAGGCCGAAGTGAACGGTTCTGGTCTTGGAAGTGGGAAAGTCCCCTCTTCCCCTGTGGATCCTTGTCCTGTCATAGTGCCTCCTGGATCACCTCAGAGTGAGAAACTTTGCGAGACTCCAGTCAGGGTAAGTTGTGTGTCTTGACGATGCATGTCCCGAGGAGTCTGCTGCATGCTGGTATGGTATCTTGATCTTTTTACGCTGGTTGTCTTCCTCTTGGTGAGTGGTTTTGGTTTATTTCCTTAGTAAAAAAATTGTTGTGCTTTTGTTTTAAACTTCTATTTCACGTTTATTATGAGCCTTATTGTATTTTGCACAATTAAAATTATCTTCTTGTAATTTTGTTCATTGCCAAGCACTTGATGCTTTTAACCAGCCTTTAAAATCCTACCTAAACTATTTTCTAAATTTTTTTTATTGATTTAATTTAATTTTCAATTATAATGTTGGTGCTGATATATTTTATTTTGACTATTAATGGAGTAAGGCAGAATGCAGGCAACATGAAACTAAGTCTAGCTACTGCTACTAACATTACAATTACAAAATACATTGCTTTTTGTAATGCATACAAATGTATAAGGTGTTAAATGTCATAGTTCACAATCAAAAGAATATAAATTTCTGGTTTTGGGATATTAAGTTGGTAGGGCAACGTATAATTTGTATCAAAAGTATCATTGAATCAATAAATTATATGTCTGTTTGATGTATGCATGTAAGGTGTTCAAAATGATACAGTTTTACACAATGTAGTTAACTGCATGAAAGGTTCAAGATGTACTGAGTTTTAGTTATTTCACTCTTCTTCTATCAATGTTTGTAACTGACACAAGCCGTTCTTCATCTTTGGACAAGCTATGAGTGGTTCTGTCTTGAGAAACAGTTGGTTTTGGTAACAAAACTGTCATCTTATTAATTCAATAATTGTCCTTCACATTTAAACACCCTGGCGTGTCAAAACCAGAAAATTTATTAAATACTTACAGGGGAAAACTCTTGGAACGGATCTCCTTTTCTAAAACACCTACTAGATAGATAGCTTCTAGTCATGAGTGGTTTTTTAATTTAGAAACCATGGAGGCTTTTGGATCACAACTTTTGACTTGGTGAACGGTTGTTCAGGTTATTAAAAATAAATTTAACAAAGGTTGAAAGTCAGAAAATTGTATGTATGTAAAAGGCAAGAATGATACTTAAAGTTATTCTACCCCGTTTATGTTGTGTGCAGGATAACAAAGCAGGCAGTGGGATTACCCTGAACCAGCTGTCTCCGTGGTTGGTTGCTTCAGAACCGTCCAAACCCAAGACAGAGGTCATCGTCCGCAAGACTGTGATCACCACTCAACTCTGAACATTACTGCAGTTTCAAAATACTTCCTTTCTTGCCAACTCCTTAGAAATAGCCATAGAGAGTTTATGAAAGGTTTTCTCAATTTGAGTCAGGTTTCATCAAACATCCCGCTTCATTCTGGGGGTTAACAAAATAAAAAATCATCAGTTTTGTCAATTTTATTTATGATTAAAGCATTTGGATTTTGATTCATATTTTGATACAACGAATAATGTGAACAGAATAAACTAAAATGCCATTTTCAATAGTTCCTTTAGTTTCTTTAATAAATAACAAATGCTAGCTAATTAATTGCGATTGGTATGCTCTTCCCATTTAGATTTTGATTTAGAGTAACTCCAAGCAAATACTATAATTTTAGTTTTACACATTACTAAGTTATAATCAAACAGCAGATTGGCTAAAACAGTTCCTTTAATTAATACGGTGCATCACATTATTCAGTTTCAATTTACTAGAGTAAAATAATCTAGAATATTGTTATCTGAATGTAATGTCCAATACAACACACCTAGGCAGATATAATTTACAAATAATATATACACAAATTGAATGACAAAGGCCCTAAGACTGAACCTTGTGGGACTTCAGTAATAATCTCCGTAAAAAAGATGACACTGTATGTAGCTAAACTCAAAAATATGTTTTGAACAAAATTAACTATTTATTATTCTATGTATGCCAAAACCCCCAGATTTATCCAGGATATTTGAAAATCCTCTAATTTTAGTCTTGAATTGAGATAACTATTTCTTAATCAGATATAGTTCAAATACCACTGGGAAAACTAATCTGATGCACATTTTTACAGTGTCTCACTCTCACATGTATAAATTGTGTAAAATACACCTCAGCAAAGGCAAACCATGAGGAATTTGAATTGTTCTTGTTTGATTATGTTCTCAACTGCAAAGAAGCCTCGCTTCTCTTCAAATTAGCCAAATAATATTCAACTGGTGAATAATATGTATGACAATAAAATCTTTTGATGAATTCGTATCAAAATATTAAATGTTTAAATATAGTGTTTTAATTCAGATAAGTCTACTTTTTGTGTCAAAAAGTGTTCATGATGTGCCAAAAGACCATATTATCAACTAAACCCTTTTGGTAAAAGTAGTTTTAAATTCATCAGTCAATTATACCTCTTCAAGGATGATTTTCGGTTTAAGTACTGCAGTTGTGGTGATTTTCTGTTCTGCATCGATGTAGACGATGGCTGAACTGTGTATAGTCAGGATGGGATGATGTGTATATATTCTATATAGCCTAACAACCTTTTGGTAGCTATTTATGTCTTTCCCTTTGACCTGGTCAAAAGTCACTATTGTGTATATTTGTTGTTCCACTATTGTTGTTTTGTTCCATTCGACTCTCGTAATTCTATTTAGCTGTAAAAAAAAGGTTTTGGGAAAGGTTTCTTTAAAAGCATTTGGTAGTAAAATGGTGTCATCCAGTTACTTAATTTGCTGTAAAGTACTTAATTTGTAGTAGTATTTTTCTCATGATATAGTAAAGCCTTGATGTCGCAGAATCGTAGAGCAACATTTCTTGAACGAATTGGACTCTGGAACAATACTTCTGGACCATACAGTTAAATATTTCTATAGTTCAAAGGATGAAGGCAGATGTAAGAATGAGTTTGACAAAGGTTAAGATGTAAAATTGTGTTTATGAAGTATGCTTAATAGTTATTTGTGCAACTAGTGAGCAAAGTGAGCAATTGACTCACTCGAGAGAAATCCTTACTCACGAGCCATTGCACTTTGCACTCGAGTTGCACATTATATTTTTCCTACAGTTACAATAAAACAAATAAATTAGTAAAGAAACATGACATATTTTTACACAGAAGTGAACTTTTAATATGACATTTAATGATCAACACGATCAACAACAGTACAACAGCTGACCAGCTGATTTACAGCCAGTGCTGCCAACGTTTTTCACGTGCATACGACCTTGTCTGCATGTTACGCGCTCACTATTTCGTGCCTTCACGTTGCAAATCTGGAGTGAGACAATGTTAACATTGTCTCACTGCTGAGCGAATTGGCCACTTTGCTTTCTCAAATCAGTGAGAGAACATGTACATTGTTAGGTAACTGTAGGAAAACTTATTTTCCACACTGTAGCATAACGTGCCTCATGAGAATCTAAATGTTGGCTCTCATTAATAAATCCCACAAATAAGTAAAAATTCTGCATAAAGTGGAATATTAAGTTAGTATAAAGACTAATTAAAGAATAAAACCGCTTTTGCTGGTTAAGTATGTGTAATACATGATGGGATTAAATCCCAAATTACATTATTATAAGCCATAAATATTTTTGAGTTGTTGCTAAATAAATATCAAACAAAGAAGGCTTTACTGTATTAATCCAGATTTTATTAAAGATTATTTATGATATGTACACAATAATCAGCTAGGCCTATCTCTAGTTATGAGTAGTCGGCTGAAATTTACTTTTCAGCTTATCATTTTGCCTGTTTAGAATTTATTTAATGTTATTTTAGTTTATATACTTGTTATTTCTTTTGTTTAATTATGATTTAGCAAAACCAGGTTAGATTGAAGCAACTGGATATTGTTACAGTGTTTTTTTTTTTAACATACATTCCGTATCTACTGTACTTTTATTTTTTTTTACCAGATCTACATATTGTGTATGCTATTGCTGCGGGCTTCGGGAAAGTATTACCATGATAAATAACGCATTTATTCTAAGTATATTTTCCATATCTAATGTAAGATAATATATGTCTATATTGTGTTTTACAATTACAGTTCCTTGTACATCAACCATATCATAATGGCCTGCTTTGACACTTTGCACTATTTGTGTGTGTATGTGTGTGTACTGTTAACCATTTACACATATTTTCTTAAGTCACAAACTTTTCTGTTGATTATATAACTTTAAAAAATTTATTTTGAAACATGAAATGCAGAACTTTTGGCGTTAATAACCTCTACAGTACCAAACATTATTCATCTCACTTTGTAAAATTAGGTAATTTTTTTAATCATTGAAGAATTATTTTTTTGTATTCCTTCCTCAAGTTAATTTGTTGATTTGAACAATTCGTCACTTGCAAGAAGAAGGGGCCTAAGTACATAAGCCTGCATGTAGTTACGTTACGCTCCTTTGTCTTGCTAGCGTTGGATTAAGTATTGACTAGGACAGACTTACAAGTTATTAAGGCACTGGTTGATGTATTAATATATTTGTCTTTTTTATCAGTATTTGAATTGTATTGATACAATAAATTAAAAAGTGAAATTGCTAGAGTAATATAGAGTAAATACTCTTTTTTTTATATTTCTTGTTCTAATGGTGATTTTCAATGCAATTAAAGATTGTGATGTATAATTATTTTTGCATGTTTTTTTAGCTGAGTCATATTAAAAATCAATTGTAAAATGCAGCTGGTTTTGGAGGTTCCTTTTTTTATATACTTAAATTTAGCATCATGCTTTTTTATATAGCTAAATTATATAGGTACATCTCAAATCAACTGCTAAAATTTACATATTTTAAGTGTTGTGCCTTTAAGTACATTTAATAGTGAATACATTTTTTCACATATTTAAGAATGTCTGTTAATATTATTTTTGCTTGTGTAATTTTATCTACAAAAGTGTTTTGCTTGCAAAGACTTATTGTAAGATAATGATTTACTAACCCTATTATTGTAGTTGTACTCAGCATTATTTAGCAGCAAAACGGTTGAGATTATTTAATCAAAACAACATGGAAAGTTATTTGTTTAAATAATTTCTAACTTATTAGTTTTATGAAAAAATATTTATAATTATGAGTTTAGTTTTACCAAATATACAATTTTCCTGTGTGAAATGACTCCAGACTATAAAAATAAAATTGCTCACTGATACAAATTGTTCAAAAACTTTTAATCTATATTTTAGTGTAGACTGACCATAGTGCCATTATTCCATGCCTTCTTGAATAAGCCAGTTAATCTGTATTTACTTAAGAATATGTATATTTTAAGACGATTATTACTACTATTCCGTCCTTATTTATACTAGACAAACATGTAGAGATTGACTTTTGAAAATATACAGCTTATTTACAATGAAATTAATCAATTGATTTTTTTAAATCCTGCAGTCACAATTTTTTCAAATAGCAGTGTCATAGACAATTTCCTTTATTTGTGATTTCTTCAAGAAATGCAATGGCGTCACAAAAATTCAGAATGTTTAACATCTAGATTGTTTAACAGTTTACATTTTCTTTGTGTTTAAAGTTCATAATTGGTCAAAAAATTCCTTAAGGGAGTACACCGGTCGGTCCACAAGCCAGTCCCAGAGTTGCTGTTTGAGTTGGTTTCCTGTTGCGTTCTTGAGGTTGTTTGGAAGAGAGTTGATGATTTTGAGGCGAATATAAGAGGGTTTTCTGCTGTATTGTGTAGTGTGGTGGATCAGAAGGCTGTAGTCGGCTGCTCTTCTGGTAACCATACCAGAAAATTCTCATTTCTGGGAAGGTTCAGTTTTTTGTGCACAGGACAACTCCATGGATGTAGAGTGCTGTCACTGTTTGGAGCTTAAGGTATTTAAATGCTTCCCTGTAGCTATATCTAAGCGCTCAAGGCCGGAGAGTGCCCTGACGGCTTTTGTCTGGAGTACCAGGACTTTGTTGAGGTTTGCTTCTGATGTTCCTCCCCAAGATATTAAGCCATTATATGTGATTCTATTACAGCATAGTATGCTGTCTTAGACGTTTCCAGACCTCCTATCCATTTCATCCTTTTTATTACATAGACCCCAGATGCAAGTTTCTTGGTCAGGTTGTATATGTGGTCGTTCCAGGAGAGGTCTTCATCAGTGGTCAGGCCTAGCAGTTTTGAGGTTTTTTTCATCGGTTATTTCACAAAATTTCTTGGATTTGTTCATGTTTTCAGCTGAAATTTAACTGGATTGTTTTTGATGGATTAATGGCCAGGTCATTTAGAAGACAGTACTGCAGTGCTTTGTCTGTTAAGGATAAGATGTTTTGAGTGTAGTTCTTGTGGCGAGTCATGCATAAATAGAAGAGTTGTGTCATCTGTGTACATTATTGTTTCACAATTGTCATTCCTAATGAAATATACATCTAAAATATCATAAATGGGAAGTGGTTTCTATCTGTGTGGCCACAAACTACTGAATCAATTGAGCTAAAAATAAACGCAAAAGTAAATTATGGTAGATAATTATTGGGTTTTAATTTCAGCCATTCATGTCATTCCTTCAGGCTAAGCATTTTAAATGTATGGCATGCAACTTGGCTGTAAATTTTAGGCTATCAGCAAGACACATATGATGACAAAAGTATTTAGTTTGGCTAGCATAAGAAAAGCATTTCTTTGATTACGTTCCTACTGAGATATGTTCAGTACATGAAATGTCAGTTGGTCCAACTTTCTGTAGTGATTCACAATAAAAATTGTACATTAATCAATAATGCAATCGTGTGAATAATGTGGGAACTGTAATAAAACCATATACACCTGTAAAGATTTTTATATTTAAAAATAATGGTTGTCAATATCCTACAAAAAGATGTGAAGTATTGTATTTAAAAAAATTCTTTTCAATATTATGTTAGCATCAAATATCATTCCTTAAATAAATGTGAAAGAAATGAGATACCTAACTTACAGTATATTGAAGGCACAGTCAAAATTCACATGCTATCCTCCCTTAGTGGTAATAATTTTCTCAATATTATAAACATGCAAGTTATTTTACAGATGCATGTTTCCAACTAGGTTTCCTCTTCTCAATAAAACTCTTGATGCCTTCTTGACCATCCTCAAGAGCTATATTGCTGACCATTACATCTTCCCCCATCCTAGTGAAAGATGAAAACAGTTAGTTCCTCAATGTAAACAAAAAGATTAAAATATTTCAAAATAAAAATTCAGTTTACTGTGCAACATCTGCTTGAAGCAATGACATTATTTAAGAATCACAGTTGATTTTTAATGTAGCATTATAAAAGCCTTTAAATAAAAAAAAATTGTGTAGAAAATAAATCAAGGAGCCATTTTACAAACAAATGAAGAGAAAAACATCAATTAAGAAATTTAGAATTTTTGAGTAAAGGGGGATATCAGCTAGCCAACTTTAGAAGAAATACAGGCATGCCATAGAACACTCAGAGGACACATCACACACAATATTTCATTCCCAGGATCCAAATGTAGATAAATATGTCAAATTAGTAGTCAACATTTGAATACATCGATACTATATTAAGAAAAAGTTCTAAAACAGTGAAACTGCATGTGAGTAGGTACTAATGTTATCCAGCCCTTAACAAGTAAAGTAATACACAATTACCTACTCCTATGAAAGACAAATTCCTACCTATAGGCGGTTTGAAGATCGGTTTCAACTTGCTTGTAAAAGAATTTCTTTCCCAATGATATCACTGTCCTACTTTTAGACTCAATGGAATCTGTTATGATCTTTAGTTCCGTTTCTGAAAAGACACATTTAAGATCAGTAAACCTGTGTTACACAGTGCAAAAGATTTATACAGTGATATCAATTGTGTTTTACAGCTACAAATAAGTTCCACTAAACTTAACCCTACAACCTTTCAGTCTAGATTTCTCAAAGAATCTGTAAAAACATTTTATGAAGGTCCACATACAGGCCAGTCAAATTGTACATAAAAAGAGGCTAAAATCGCAAAGCGTGATGTATTGCTGCATTTTTAATATGTTGTTGGGACCCGTTAGGGTAACTCAAAACCAAGTTTGCAGCTTTGAGATCCCTGTGCTCCCTGCGTAATAAGTAAAATATTACAAAATTAATGTATTTTTTTAAGTTTTTGGTTTATAACTTATTAACAGTGCATTTTTCTTAATAGTACTCAAATGTGATAATTAAAGTACATAAAATTTCCAACAATTTAAGCATAGTTTCATTTTTGTGTGTCAAATAGTTTTTGAGCAATGAATTTTCAAATATTATATCTTTTTTCAAGTAATTTCCACAATTTACATTTTTTCTGGGTTGGACCCACAAAAATTGTGTAATACCCATATTATGGCAGAATTCTTAAAACCTGCTTTTGTAGTAAATGTTATTGGCTTTCGTTTTATCACAAAGCCGAGTCTCTACCTCCAATACTTTTCTGAAAACTATACAAATAATAATTTATGAATATCACGATTTTTTCATTGAACGAGCTTAATTGTTTTTACAACATGTGTAAGTTGAGATAAAAAAATGTTACTATGTTTTAGCAAATTTTTTAAAAATATAATATAAATTTGTGTTAAAACAACTTACAGTAAATATTACCACCGCAGAAAATGATCAAATATATCGGTTCCGGCACTAAGCATTACCGTACCACCTATGGTAATAGCTACTTCCTATCAGTAAGTAAAAAAGAAGAATATATGTTAAATTAGTGTTTTATTTCTATTATACTTGTTTTCTTTATGTTAAGTTTTAGATATAGTTTTTGACGCCATTCCATGTACTGATTTATGTACAATATGAAATAAAGACTATTTGATTTGAACACAATTGTTGCATCTACTACTACGGTATATAATTTTTTTGCTGTTTCAAATATTTATATGATGCATTTTAACTACAATAGTACAGGTTCTACATCAATAAGACTCATGCTGACTGCTGATGTACTTTTTCCCGCAGCATCTTTTCCGATTATTTATACACATCCAAGACTGATTTACTTTTTCAACTTCAAATTACCAGAGGTCAAAAACGCCTTCCGTTCAAGTTTATGTAAATGTGTGTGTAGGTCCATCAGCACATGAACTAGAGTAAAACTCATCCGATTTTGATTAAACTAAAAGCAAATGTTATGAACCAGTATGATTGTACTAAAGAGTACGGGGTTTTATGGGATTAAAATAGGTTTCCCCATTCTCACCCTAAAAATTCCTCCGAGGAAGCTGGAGAAAAGTGCCTAATTGCTTTGTATGGTGGCAACACATTCCACAATGAATTCGAAAACCTTCGGTTCCGCCTGTTTGTAAAGGCAGCAGCCCGCGCTAAGGTAAACTTTTCACGCTTGCCCCCCACCCAAGATGCAGCTTCCTTCCACTTATTTCGAGCATACCACCAAGTGCAAAAATGGTTAGGGATTGAAAAGGATCCCACAGAGTGGGGTTGGTCAAATAGCACAGAAGGATTGGTTCCAGTGACAACAACAAGTCCAGCTCCATCCAACCTTCTGAAACTAGTTTCATGCAGATGCAAAAAGGGATGCACGGGCGCTTGCACATGTTGGAAGGCCGGGATAAAGTGTTCACCATTATGTACTCCTTGCTCTGCTAAGAACTGCCAAAATGTCACATTACCATTTATTGAAGAGGATGAAGATGACCCTGACAATAATATTTTTTTTCCGAAGATTTTTAATTAGGAAACATTTCTAATACCTTGCCTTCAGTGTCCAAAAAGCCAAAATATTAATTATAAGAATATTTTGTCATAATTTATCTTTAAATATAACTTTTATCCTTAAATATGTTTTTCCTTATTTCGTTTTTATCACTTAATGGTTGGTTTCATTTTTTAAACTCATTAAATAAAAAAATCGTGATATTCATAAATTATTATTTGTATAGTTTTCAGACAAGTGTTGAAAGTACAGACTTGGCTTTGTGATAAAACGAAAGCCAATAACATTTACTACAAAAGCAGGTTTTAAGAATTCTGCCATAATATGGGTATTACACAATTTTTGTGGGTCCAACCCAGAAAAAATGTAAATTGTGGAAATTACTTGAAAAAAGATATAATATTTGAAAATTCATTGCTCAAAAACTATTTGACACACCAAAATGAAACTATGCTTAATTTTTTGGAAATTTTATGTACTTTAATTATTACATTTGAGTAGTATTAAGAAAAATGCACTGTTAATAAGTTATAAACCAAAAACTTAAAAAAATACATTAATTTTGTAATATTTTACTTATTACGCAGGGAGCACAGGGATCTCGAAGCTGCAAAGCAATACATCACGCTTTGCGATTTTATTGTCCAATTTGACTGGCCTAATAACCCTACCCACGTATCATTTGCAACTATGCTGGGATTCTCTGAGTCAGTGTCTTTCATAACAACTCAGCTTGGCGATAGCCAACTAGTCAGAAACATAATCTGTCCGATAATTGGGTTCACTTATGGTGATAAATTTGATGTCCTAACCGTCCTACATTATATAGTGTAGTATTTTTGTAGTTGAACAACTTTTGATAAAGTGAAGAATTACTTTATCAAGGAGAGAACAATTATGGAGCAAACATCTTAGAAATTTGAAAATATAGGACATATAAACACAATTGCTTTAACCCTTTCAGTGCTAGGCCAATAATTCATATTTTGTAAGACTTTTTTGTTTGCCTTTCAATTCCATTACCTGTTGTTGAATTTTAACTGTCATGTTGTCACTATTCTATTAATTAGGCTAATTTTGAATAATAACACAATAAGAAAATATATAAGAAAGATAAATCCCGGTATTTGTAGTAAACATAAATAAAACTTTTCCTATAATTTTTTATGTTCTGATAGCATTATTTGAAACCGAAATCTCATAAAATCAAAAGACATATAGTTTACAATGTAATATTGAATTTAACCCTGATTTAGTTGGACGAGGTTATCGTAATATAGCCATTTTAGGGAAACTAATGTTTTGCAGCAAAGTCTCAGGAACACATTTAGTACTACTAAAACTGAAAGATTGCATCTAAATAGTCCGTGACTAACTGGTGCTGCTACCTAGTAAGGCATTGAACAACCATCTGCAGCGCCATCTGTTCGCAATCGGTGGCGACAGCTTAAATACAGGTTTTTGACTCCCCAGTCTTCAAGCACAGATAGCCGAGAAGGCTAGGGCGTGTGTCACTTGGCCAGTGGCATTCGTCTGCTCGGGTTCGAATCCCGTCCTGTGTGGCAAATAATTGGTGACCTGTGTGTTTGTAGCGATATACTACAACCACTGGGGCATAGTGAGGTGTTCACAATCCTTGGTTTAGACATACACCTCGAAATCATCGGATTGGGCGAATCTTTTAGCTAAGTGGTTGGTAGTGTATCCTATAAACATGCAGGTCACCAATGGCCGTTTTGATATTTTTTTTAAAAATAACCTTCCTCTCTATATCCCTTAGGGTTTTTTTAAAACAACGATATATCGTTTCATAGCACTGAAAGGGTTAAATCTTGGAGTTGGACGACAAAATAAAAACGGTGATTGGAAAAAACAAAAGAGGGGGAATTGATTAAGCTGAAAAAGTCCCATTTCCCAATAAAAACCATTATTTCTCAAACGGTAGGCCTACACTTCCAGATTGCAAAGTTTGTGACACTGTACTAGTTCAAAGTTTTAGTTAGATTTTCTTGACACATTCCAAGTCTTATGAACTGCAATACTGACCCAAACTCTCCTGTGGTACGACCTTGCTCACAAGACCAGCTTGATAAGCCTCCTCCGCTGTGATTGGGAGCCCTGTCAGCAACATGCGTAACGCCATCTTGCGACTGACACTACGAGCCACTGGGATACCAGGAGTCGAGCAGAATAATCCAAAACTAGCTCTAAACAGAAAATTAATCATTAGAAACAGAAAGTAAGATTTTGAGTCTAGGCTAAAGGTTTCAGTTTTAGCTCCAGCCAATGCTCCTATTCTTATAAAATGATTTTCCATCTGATAAATATCAAGTGGGGGAAAAACTAAGATAGGAAAATAGACTGGATTATTTTGTTGTAGGCTCACCCTGGAGTAGAGGAGCTGGCAGATGGCAATGTCAAACTGAGCTTCAGCTGCAGGCAGTCTGTCTACCACAGGCACGGGACATGACACTGACTACGCTAACATCATCTGAGAACACCACTCATACTAACCCTGGTGTAGAGAAGGAACTGTGAGGTGTGCAGATGGCAATGTCAAACTGAGCTTCAGCTGCAGGCAGTCTGTCTACCACAGGCACGGGACATGACACTGACTACGCTAACATCATCTGAGAACACCACTCATACTAACCCTGGTGTAGAGAAGGAACTGTGAGGTGTGCAGATGGCAATGTCACACTGAGCAACCAGCTGACACCCAGCTGCTGCGGCCAGTCCGTCTCCCACAGCCACCACAGGCACGGGACATGACACTATGTCTAACATCAGCTGAGAACACCACTCATACTAACCCTGGTGTAGAGAAGGAGCTGTGAGGTGTGCAGATGGCAATGTCACACTGAGCAACCAGCTGACACCCAGCTGCTGCGGCCCGTCCGTCTACCACAGGCACGGGACATGACACTATGTCTAACATCAGCTGAGAACACCACTCATACTAACCCTGGTGTAGAGAAGGAACTGTGAGGTGTGCAGATGGCAATGTCACACTGAGCTACCAGCTGACACCCAGCTGCTGCGGCCCGTCCGTCTACCACAGGCACGGGACATGACACTATGTCTAACATCAGCTGAGAACACCACTCATACTAACCCTGGTGTAGAGAAGGAACTGTGAGGTGTGCAGATGGCAATGTCACACTGAGCTACCAGCTGACACCCAGCTGTTGCGGCCCGTCCGTCTACCACAGGCACGGGACATGACACTATGTCTAACATCAGCTGAGAACACCACTCATACTAACCCTGGTGTAGAGAAGGAACTGTGAGGTGTGCAGATGGCAATGTCACACTGAGCTACCAGCTGACACCCAGCTGCTGCGGCCCGTCCGTCTACCACAGCCACCACAGGCACGGGACATGACACTATGTCTAACATCAGCTGAGAACACCACTCATACTAACCCTGGTGTAGAGAAGGAACTGTGATGGGTGCAGATGGCAATGTCACACTGAGCTACCAGCTGACACCCAGCTGCTGCGGCCCGTCCGTCTACCACAGCCACCACAGGCACGGGACATGACACTATGTCTAACATCAGCTGAGAACACCACTCATACTAACCCTGGTGTAGAGAAGGAACTGTGATGGGTGCAGATGGCAATGTCACACTGAGCTACCAGCTGACGCCCAGCTGCTGCGGCCCGTCCGTCTACCACAGCCACCACAGGCACGGGACATGACACTATGTCTAACATCAGCTGAGAACACCACTCATACTAACCCTGGTGTAGAGAAGGAACTGTGATGGGTGCAGATGGCAATGTCACACTGAGCTACCAGCTGACGCCCAGCTGCTGCGGCCCGTCCGTCTACCACAGCCACCACAGGCACGGGACATGACACTATGTCTAACATCAGCTGAGAACACCACTCATACTAACCCTGGTGTAGAGAAGGAACTGTGATGGGTGCAGATGGCAATGTCACACTGAGCTACCAGCTGACGCCCAGCTGCTGCGGCCCGTCCGTCTACCACAGCCACCACAGGCACGGGACATGACACTATGTCTAACATCAGCTGAGAACACCACTCATACTAACCCTGGTGTAGAGAAGGAGCTGTGAGGTGTGCAGATGGAAATGTCACACTGAGACCCAGCTGCTGCGGCCCGTCCGTCTACCACAGCCACAACACGGGACATGACACTATGTCTAACATCAGCTGAGAACACCACTCATACTAACCCTGGTGTAGAGAAGGAACTGTGATGGGTGCAGATGGCAATGTCACACTGAGCTACCAGCTGACGCCCAGCTGCTGCGGCCCGTCCGTCTACCACAGCCACAACACGGGACATGACACTATGTCTAACATCAGCTGAGAACACCACTCATACTAACCCTGGTGTAGAGAAGGAGCTGTGAGGTGTGCAGATGGAAATGTCACACTGAGACCCAGCTGCTGCGGCCCGTCCGTCTACCACAGCCACAACACGGGACATGACACTATGTCTAACATCAGCTGAGAACACCACTCATACTAACCCTGGTGTAGAGAAGGAACTGTGATGGGTGCAGATGGCAATGTCACACTGAGCTACCAGCTGACGCCCAGCTGCTGCGGCCCGTCCGTCTACCACAGCCACCACAGGCACGGGACATGACACTATGTCTAACATCAGCTGAGAACACCACTCATACTAACCCTGGTGTAGAGAAGGAGCTGTGAGGTGTGCAGATGGAAATGTCACACTGAGACCCAGCTGCTGCGGCCCGTCCGTCTACCACAGCCACCACAGGCACGGGACATGACACTATGTCTAACATCAGCTGAGAACACCACTCATACTAACCCTGGTGTAGAGAAGGAGCTGTGAGGTGTGCAGATGTAAATGTCACACTGAGACCCAGCTGCTGCGGCCCGTCCGTCTACCACAGCCACCACAGGCACGGGACATGACACTATGTCTAACATCAGCTGAGAACACCACTCATACTAACCCTGGTGTAGAGAAGGAGCTGTGAGGTGTGCAGATGGAAATGTCACACTGAGACCCAGCTGCTGCGGCCCGTCCGTCTACCACAGCCACCACAGGCACGGGACATGACACTATGTCTAACATCAGCTGAGAACACCACTCATACTAACCCTGGTGTAGAGAAGGAGCTGTGAGGTGTGCAGATGGCAATGTCACACTGAGCTACCAGCTGACACCCAGCTGCTGCGGCCCGTCCGTCTACCACAGCCACAACACGGGACATGACACTATGTCTAACATCAGCTGAGAACACCACTCATACTAACCCTGGTGTAGAGAAGGAACTGTGAGGTGTGCAGATGGCAATGTCACACTGAGCTACCAGCTGACACCCAGCTGCTGCGGCCAGTCCGTCTACCACAGCCACCACAGGCACGGGACATGACACTATGTCCAACATCAGCTGAGAACATTGTGAGAACACTAGCCTCTGGTGCTGCTGTTGTGTGGAGTTGAGGTCCTGAGGCACATGTCAACAGATTTTGAATATTAAAAATATAGGATGTTTCTCTGGATGTATTTGTTTATTCCAGGTGACAATTGAACATCAAAACTAACTTTTAAACTTTAATCAATGGTAAATCATGAGTTGCTCAATAGGTCTTTTTATGTCTATCAAATTTCTTCTGGCTGTGCCAAAGTTTTAAAGTATAATTTTTCCACGATTACAGTACAGTGCTTGTATTGAGTTCTAAGGAAAAGAATAAATAAACAATCCTAACGTTTACTCTACTGTTATTATGTTTGCAATTATTTTGTCAATAAATTTTAATTCCACCCACTTTATACAACTAATATAGCATATTTACAAGTTAAAGTAGTAGGTCCAGCACGTAGATTCTATAGAAGTTATTATTATTACTTTTTAAAATAACACAAACTAGTTTCTATTGCAACAAAATTGTGAAAAATAGAAGCAACTGCTGTGGTGGTTTATTTTGATCGTAGCGTAGCCTATATCTGCATAATTTAGTTTTGGAATAAAAATGTGATATTGAAATAGTTTTATTTACCACCATTTTATACTGTGATTATTAATTAATAATTATTCTATATTCTTGTGCTGTTGTGCTATTATTAAGCATCATACAAATTCATAGGTTTATTTTTACAACCTATGGAAAAGTCTCTTTATGTTCTTGTTTGTATTGAATAAATGTTGCTTTTCTATACCTTTAAGTAAATAAGAAGCTAATTAAAATTATTTCATTTGTCAAAATGTAAACGCAGGAGTATCATGGATTGATCTACACTCTACCCACTACCTACAAATTCTTTGAGGTTATGACCAGAGCAGAAAACAGGTCCTTCAGCTCTGATTACAATGCACCTTAGTTTGATGTCTTCCACATCTGTTGTCACATGGCCGATGAGCTCGTTGATGGTGGAGAGAGACAAGGCATTCCTGTGAAAGCAAATTATGTCATTAAGGTTTAAACTCGATTAAGTTAAAATTTATGGAATGTAAACCAAATGTATAATCTTTAATGTAATTACTTGGACCTATTCATGAGTTTGTTTATAGACAGTGCCCTTGCATTAGAGGAGGCTATGATTTAAGTGGTATGCTTATAGAATATGTCTGAATGTGATTGAAACTAAAATAAGCTTACCGTGATTTGGGGTTGCTTAATGTAATCGTCCTGACTCCACGCTCTTCAATCATTTTAGTGGTCACAGCACTTGCGGAAGTTGAATAGGAGGCAAGAGAAACTATTTGTTTGAAACATTTCCTCACCAACATTGCAAACTGTACTTTAACAGAGGGGAGCTGCAGTTAAACGTTGAATACTCTGTAACATGTCAAAGCCACATTTAATGCAGTTTAGTATAACAATCTTGAATGCCAACAATACCACACTACTTCAATTTAGCATTTCTCAGCATCGCACATCCACTGACACTGACACACACGTTCTTCTTGATGATACCACTATTTACCCCTCCCTAGATGTAAAGTTCCTTGGTTTAATTTTTGACGAGAACCTCAAATTTCACAAGCATATCGATCACGTTTCAAACACGATCTGTAGGGATTTTCATGCTCCGCACTCTTAAACATACCGTTTTGTCTGAGGTTATCTTGACAGCCTACTATGGCCTTGTTTATCCTTATCTGACATATGCTGTACCTGTCTGGGGGTTTGAAAGCCAAAGGACTCAGTTTATATTCAAGCTCCAAAAAAGGCTCTCCAAACTTTTTTTCCCTTCACCGTCGTCAATCCTGCAAAGACGTTTTCAGATCACATAAAGTTCTAACTTTCCCTTCCATTTACATTTTAGAAACATAAGCTTATCATTTATTAAGAAAAACCAATCATCATATAGCTCTCCAAAGTATCCATAGTTAAATCCTCTCCGCAACAATTTCAATCTTTTCACAACACTCATTCAACCACTTTCTTTCAGAAAAACATCCACTTCAATGCAGTAAAACTTTTTAATGAACTTCCTCTCCCTTTGAAAGTCGAACAGGAAATCGGAAAATTCAGGAAATGTGTTAAGTCCATCTTGATAACTTAAATAAGGTTTGCTTGTTTGCTACAGCGTCCGGGAATTTGCTGGTAGTCTTTAACTTATTAAACATCACAAAGGGTTGTGTGACACAACCAAACAATTTGTAGGCTATAGGCCTACATGTATTTAGTAGTTAATAATTTCATAATAAATGAAATTTCTTGACTTGGCCAATGCAATGTGTATTGTTAATCTGGCTTAGCCTAATAAAGGACTTTGACTTTCACTTTGACTTTGTAGTAGTAGGCCCTAAATTTGGGGCCAACTATACATCTACACTCAATGGTAAGCGTGTAATCTCAAAAGTACACTTTTTTCAGGGTACCTGAAGAAAAAAACAGGATAGCATAAGAAAATAATATTGCAAAGTGAATTTTAAGCTAAAAACCTGTTCCATTCTGTAACAAAACTAAGTTAAAGCTCATAAATAAGTTATTAAGTTAGGCTATAATTATTATAGGTTAATAACAATCATGACTTCAAATATTAAGGTAATATGTAAAATACATGTTATGTTATTATATATGTAGTACCGGTATTTGTTTTAACTTCAATAAAAGATCATTTAGGCCTATTAATAAATCATTATCCGTCGCAGGCGATTACTGATTACCCCGCAGCGCGCTGTATACCTATTTGTCGGAGTACATGTGGCAGCTAGCGGCAGCGACACATTCAACTAAATCCTTGCCGACATCGCTGCCTTCACGGAGGCAGAATTCAAAAGCCCCCCGCTAATCATATAATCATGTCAAATTTGGAGTTAAGTATGTTCTTTCCAATTATGTTATTATTTTTGGTCTCCAGAAAAAAAATACCTGAAAATGCAATACAGTACAATGATAGTAGGCCTACTTTAAAAACACAGTCGACCTAATTTGTGTCTTAAACATTGAATCTGAATAGACTGTAACCCCACAAGAGAAAATTATAAATTTAAGAATAGGCTAGTTTAACTTTAGGAAAACTGTAAAATGATGCACACACAACAAGAAAACAAGGGACTGACTATTTTGTTGACCCGGGTCAACAAATTCAATATATTTAGAAAAAAAAACCACTTGGAATGTAGATATTTACATGAAACCTGGAAAGAAGGTATATCTACATGTATTCTACACGTATGTAACATTTGGTAACGATAAAAATTATTTACCTATTTTATTAACTAAAAACTGCCCAAATAGTTGATTTTTTTTTTGTTGACCCGGGTCAATCGTCTATAAAAAAGGTACCTGTTAATAAAATAGGTAAATATTTTTATCGTTACCAAATTTTACATACATGTAGAATACGTGTAGATATACCTTCGTTCCAAGTTTCATGTATATAAATGTAGTTTAATTCTAAGTAGGCCTACCTTTTTTAGGCAATTGACCCGGGTCAACAAATAAAATGAGCTATTTTGGGCGGTTTTTAGTTAATAAAATAGATCAATATTTTTTTATCGTTACCAAATTTTACATACAAGTAGAATACATGTTTATATACCTTCGTTCCAAGTTTCATGTAAATATCTACATTCCAAGTGGTTTTTTTTTCTTAATATATTGAATTTGTTGACCCGGGTCAACAAAATAGGGAGTCCCAAAACAATAGCCCTAACTATTTATTATCAAAATAGCCTACAAAGTTTAAAGTTGGTTTCAGTAATTATCAGAAGAATTACTTTGTTTATTTTTACTAACTTATTATTTAAGTTGACATTTTGTTGATTTGAAAAGTAAGTACCTGTTATTAATATTTTGAACCTGTAATAAGGGACTCTCGGACTCTGCTTGAATACCAAACACCAATTTCACTAAATAGCCTACCAGAATTAAACTGTGTGCAGCATTAAACTTATGTATCAGTAATCACTAATCAAATCAGTATCAAAAACACCACACCACCACGGCCCCCTTTAACTACAGGCCGCGGCCAGCGAGAATTGGCAACGTCGCACTGAGCATTAACTCCCGGCCATTTCACCATTACGGTAGTACGAAACTAGTGGTCGTGGTTTAAATATACTGCATTTTTACACCCTTACAATTGAGATAAAATTTTGAAATTTTGTACAGAGCTAGGGAATAAACCCTTCATGCCAATGGTATGGTTTTGAAAATTAAAATTTTATTTGGTAGTACATATATATATTTTTAAAATTAACACAATAGAAAATTTTTGGAATAGTGAAGTGAAAAAGTTAGTCGCCTACTAAAATTTTTGTTTGTTGGTCAGAGAAGTTTCGTCTGTGAGAGAGTTGTAGATAATTAAATATACTTTAATTTTTGTATTTAACTTTTCTTTCTATCATGCTTAGTTTTGTTAAAATTTTGGGTTGAACAGAGTGACCAAATCTCAGTTTTATGGCACGGCGCGGCGAGTAGCGCTGCTCGCAACTGTATTGTAGTATCGCATAGCTAATAATTAATTAATGTAGGCCAACTGAATTATTTCAAGCATTTTAATATGCCTTTTGGTTATCCACAAGAATATTACTTTTGTATCAAATACTGCACGACTTAATGTCTTCATAATTAAATACCGTAGCCTAAAACAAAAATGCCTTTTCCTTTTAGTTTTAATAATTTTGCTGTAGTTTATTATGAATTTTAAGTAAGTGTTTTATTTACACGTTATTATGTAGTATTATGAGAAATAAACCATTATAATAACTAATCCATTGATAATATTCTTGCAACAGACAATCGGAAGTTGGGGCTACCGAAAACTTTTAATTTAGCGCTCATCAACCAATAGTGGCGTGGCGACCACCATCTTCATTGAATTAGGTGGAATTAGCGAATAACTAAAATTAGCGACAACCTGTACCTATAATTAGCGTGCAGTTGTTCTTCTGTGTTGGCTGGTTTTTAGTGACTAGTGGTTTTTATGTCAGATATCGATATTTTAGAAATAGCTGAAACTGTTTGAATTTTTGGAATAAATAATTTGAAGGAAATAGTATCAAAAATTATTTTGAGAATGAGCAATATTTTTTAAATATCTACACGAAAGTAAAAAAGACCAAAATAATAGCCAATGTAACCATTGAAAAATGTCAATCCTTTCTTGAATAAAATAACTTTATTTATTGCTTTTGCTAATTTTTACTTTGTATAGTAAACGTCATCATTCCAATGATAAAACAATAGCTTACACAGAAGCTGTAACTAAATAACATTGCAGATAGGATTTACATTTTAAGTGTTTAACAATTAATAAATCATATAGAGTAAATACGTAGAAGAGACGGAAGAAAACTACAATCATGCGCCTACTTATACGTTCAATCATGTTCAATGTACCGTAAAAGGTTTTAATAAATATTGTATTACATTCTTGCATTGACACGAAAGCCTCACATAATTATTTACTCCTTTTCCTACACATCAGTGTTAACAGATATAAAACATCTAAATTAATAGATAATTCGCGTGCTTGTTCCAATCCTCCGCGGCGCGAGCGCGAGCGTTCACTGGTGTTGTGGTGAAGCGTAGCTTAGCCATCCAGCCATCCGATGCGGTGTTGCCACTTCGAACGCCGCGGCCTGTAGTTAAAGGAGGCCGTGACACCACACAAGTCCACCGTCGTGAAGTTAGCGGCTCTTTTCATCGGCGCTTTTTCGGTTTGTAATAGATGTGGGTTGGTACTCCTGCGGACGCCACAAATGTGTTTTGCAGGGATGTCGGAAACACAATTAAATGACAATACGGTGCGAAATGATGTTTTTATATTTATATAATGTCAATTATACATTGATAAAACGTGTATAAAAGTTAAAACTAATTAATTGACGTATTTTAAAAGGCATATTTGAGACCGTAGTGTACATTATACGTAGCTATGGCTTAACATAACGCGATCAATTAAAACTCCGAACATAAAAAGTGCATAATCTTTTTTCCCAAGCCCATCACATCAACTTTGAGCTATTCTAATGGTAATATACCGTGTGTAGAATACTCAGTATAAATATGATTGAGGCAGTCCAGTGAATTACGAAGCTATAGGCAAAATGTATATGGTTGATAGTAACTCGTATCAGGAAAAAGTGCACAATCTTTTTCCTAAGCCCATCACATCAACTTTGAGGTATTCTAATGGTAATGTACAATGTGTAGAATACTCAGTAAAAATATGATTGAGGCAGTCCAGTGAATTACGAAGCTATAAGGCAAAATCTATATGGTTGATAGGAATTTGCGTCAGGAAAAGTGCACAATCATTTTCCTAAGCCCATCACATCAACTTTGAGGTATTCTAATGGTAATATACAATGTTTAGAATAATCGGTATGAGTATAATTGCGGCAGTCCAGTAAATTACAAAGTTATATGGCAAAATCTATATGGTTGATAGGAATTTGCGTCAGGAAAAGTGCACAATCTTTTTCCTAAGCCCATCACATCAACTTTGAGGTATTATAATGGTAATACACAATGTGTAGAATAATCAGTATGAGTATGATTGCGGCAGTCCAGTAAATTACGAAGTTATATGGCAAAATGTATATGGTTGATAGGAACTCGCATCAGGAAAAGTGCACAATCTTTTTCCTAAGCCCATCACATCAACTTTGAGGTATTCTAATGGTAATATACAATGTGTAGAGTAATCAGTATGAATATGATTGCGGCAGTCCAGTAAATTACGAAGTTATATGGCAAAATGTATATGGTTGATAGGAACTCGCATCAGGAAAAGTGCACAATCTTTTTCCTGAGCCCATCACATCAACTTTGAGGTATTCTAATGGTAATATACATTGTGTAGAATACTCAGTATAAATATGATTGCGGCAGTCCTGTAAATTACGAAGTTATTTGGCAAAATGTATATGGTTGATAGGAACTCGCATCAGGAAAAGTGCACAATCTTTTTCCTGAGCCCATCACATCAACTTTGAGGTATTCTAATGGTAATATACAATGTGTAGAATACTCAGTATAAATATGATTGCGGCAGTCCTGTAAATTACGAAGTTATATGGCAAAATGTATATGGTTGATAGGAACTCGCATCAGGAAAAGTGCACAATCTTTTTCCTGAGACCATCACATCAACTTTGAGGTATTATAATGGTAATATACAATGTGTAGAATAATCAGTATGAGTATGATTGTGGCAGTCCAGTATATTACGAAGTTATATGGCAAAATGTATATGGTTGATAGGAACTCGCATCAGGAAAAGTGCACAATCTTTTTCCTCAGCCCATCACATCAACT